TTTCTAAATTTTTCTACATAAACAATGTGTGCTATAATAAAATGAAAGAATTTGTCTATGTGAACATTTGACTTTCTCATGAAAGATTTGTCTGAACTGGGCCCTCATGCTGGTTCATGTCCACATAACTCATCCTTTACAGTCATAGACTGATGTGACACAGGGTAATAGAAAGTGATGCATTGCCTGAATTTAAAGGAACACAGACTATTTCAGGATCGGCTGTGCAGCATGAGATCTGTATCAGATTTGAAACAAAGCTAACCAAGCAGACAGAGCAGTAAGATATCTATAGCATCCATTAATCAGTATATACTATGCTGTTGCTGGCTTCTTTTTTTCATTTTGGCTTTTCTGTGTGTGTTCACCATCTAACGTTATTTGCCTGGTGCCTTTTTAAAGCCAAGACAAATACACAAGGTTACTTGGGAAACCATTTACAAATCTTATCTCCTCTCTGTTCTTTAATTTCAATGCAAGAAATCATACTTTTTGACCCCAAATACCCCACCAGAGTTGTAGATCATCAGTGTGTCTACATAAGCTTATGTTGAAATATGAAGAAGTCAGTATTTGTTGTTGGAGTTTGTTGTTCAGGTGTTCTTTCTCTATGTGTGTACATGTAGTTTTATCCCTTACATTTGACAGAATAGAATGATGGCAGTGCCCACAGCAGAACATTCCCACAAAACCTACCTTACCTTTTGAGAAGAGTGACATTTGTCTAAATTTCTTTTCATATTAAACTCAGATTAGTAAGTAATTAGTAATCTCAGATTCAAGTTCTCAGAGAAGCAATGTAGCTCTTCATTGTTTAATGGCCAATGCACTTTGCTACAATGTATGTTTAGATGAGATCTTAAGAACTGAGTTTCTTTATAATCTATATGCTTCTGAGGAACTAAAGCCACATTTTATGCAAGAAAAAGGTTTTGCACTATCATCTTCAGATTTTCCCTCTGGAATCTACTTGAGAAAATGGACCAGAAGCTTCAGGCACCCCTTTTTGGTCTTCTGAAAGAACAGCCATCAGTGCTGGTGCTCTGCACTCTTCCCTGCAACAGCCAACAACTTACTTTGTCTTTGCATCTGTTTGTCCTTTACCTCTGTTTAATCCAAGTTTAGTTGTACTGTATCCAGAAAATTTTTTTAAGGTTATCGAATGTTGTGTATCACAGACTTTGCATGCTAAGAACCTTTCTGCTGAGATTATTGTAGCAGAGAGAGCACAGTCCTTACACTTAGCAAAAATTGTGCATTTATCAAACAAGCAAACAGGTTGTGTGCCTTTAAAAAGGTTTTCATAGCAGCCTATTTCATATTTTCTTAAAAAAATTAATGCTACTTTCTCCATAGTGTTGCTCTGACATTGTATAGTATGAAGTTTTAAAGCCAGACACCTTCTAGCAATAAGAACTTCAGAAGTAAAGCCTGCTGAAACCATCTGAACTGCTTCAAAAAGTGCAGCCTCCTCTCAGGGATCAGCTATTTTTCCCAAGTTTGAAATTCTAACCTGGTAAATAGCATCAACAGGGGAGTTTTCCCCCAACTCTTTTGGAGAACCCCACAGATATGAATATCTTCAAAGGAGAATCTGTTAAAAAATGTAACAGTCTTCAAAGGGGAAACACCACCCTCAGCAATCTGAAGTTCTTTAAAGTGGGAGCCCACCAGCACTAAGAATCCTCAGAGGACTAACTCCCAGAGCACTGTGAAAATTTGTAAGAGAACAAGCCCTCTCTCACAAATACCCAGTAGGCTATTATTTTCCTTTAAAAGGACTCTTACATGTGTACATTTATAATTACAGAAAGGGTCTTATTTAACCAGAGCCCTGTAGAACTCTCTTGCTTTTAAAAACAAATATTGATTAAAAGAAAAGAATGAAAGAAGAAAACAATTTGACTTTACTATTTTCCTTTATCTTCTTTTATTTATAACTGATCTCAATATAATACACCAATAACACTTGGTTCATGTAGCTCTTTTGATCTCGGGAACTCAAAAGTATTCTTCAAGAGTTGTGAAGAAATATTCTCTGAGTGCAGTTATCCACTTATAATGCTTGTTAACTGGGAGTCCAAACACTCAATCAGGAAGCACATATATCTCTTTTGTACTGTTGCTGGGTATGTTCTTTCAAGACGTACTTTCTTGAATAAATATTCAAGGGTTTGGTGTTCTCCTCCCACCCTCCCCTGTATTTTAGCATTTTGTTTGGTAGGGATAGCTAACACAGACATTAAAGTCATTATCAATGGCTGGAGTTGCCTTCCAGGTATGCCACAAATGCCCAGATAAGGTGGGCAATGAGTCCAGCTGCCATGCTGGGTGAAAGGAGAGAGATGCTGAGGTGGCTTGAGCTACTCACGAGCATCCTTTCCAGATGTGAATGCAGGCATGTCCTTCTAGTGGGAGTGAATTTATCATGGGTTTTCAGGAAGCAAAAGAGCCCTGTTTTTTTGAGATGGAGAATGGCTTGTCTGACAAAAAGTGCCTGCATCAAAGCCACCATGTGAAGTCAGTTCTCCTGAGTTCCAAATCAGAAGAAGGCTGGGGTCTTTTTTTGCATGTTTTTGCCTCATCGATCAATAATACAATCATGTAGGAAAGAATTTCTCCTGACTCCCAGGGTCTGTGAGTGTATAACCCAAACACTGAGAATTACTAGTAAAATTTCTGACTTGCTGAAGAAATGGTAGAAATAACTAAATTTTACTTGTAGAAGTAAAAATATCATGCTCCATTCATGTATTTATTAGCTTCTTCTGTTTCACAATGCAGTATGATTTATTTTCTGATGTAACTGTAAAATCTGAAGCTTTCATATCTTGTGTTTAGTGATGTTTGATGGTTTGATTTCCTGCTTCTTAACTGATCCAAAAATGTGTGCCAAGAATATGATGCCTGATAGTATCCTCATCTTCGACTATACAAAGGGAAAAAATCTTTTGCAGTATATGATAAATATCTTTACACTTCTTTGATGATAGAATAGTCTGATATTTGCCACTTTTTTTTTCTTACTGAAAATAGCATCTTCTGTTTGGAAGTTACTTAGATGCATCTGGTGGGTGATGTTTGGGTCTGATACCAATAAACACATTTATCCCATTCAGCAGATTAACTGTGTTTTGCTATGAAGCACTGATGGTTGCAGCAGTGTGTATATCCAACAGCACCATTGACTAAATCTACTTGCAACATGCGAGGAAAAGAAGTGAATAGACAAGTCAAAGGATACTTTGACAGCTCTGGGCAGGCTGCAGTGAGTCCTTAAGTAGTTAGAGGAATTTCCTTCCATTATGAGATCTGACAGTTAGTCCCTCCATCCAGATGTGACAATCTTTTACTGACTTTTTTTTTTTTTTTTTTTTTACTAGCATTTATGCCAGAGAATTTGATAAAATGGAGATAACTATGTTCAGAACAGGCTTTTTGTTGCTGGAAAGCTCTCCTGTAAGCCAGATATCATAAATATGAATGTAGACGCTGATTCTTCTGCTCGGTAGATTCTGTATTTGGATATGAAACCTAGGAACAAGGACGAAATTAGTGATAGTGCATTTGAATTACTCCTTTCCAAAGAAAGTTTAAATTACTTGCTGAGAGCATTTGGTCTCTGGATTCTGCTGAAGCACACTCTCTATCCCAAAACACAGAACACTAGTCATAATAAACCAGAATTTAAATGTATAGTAAGAAACCTTGTATTCATTCTTGCTGCAATTATGTCGCATTCAATGGAGTTTCATCAGAGACAAATACAACATTGTTATTCACGGGACCTGGAAAGAATGTTTTTTTTTTCCAGTGAATCTTAGTTTCCATAATGCAAAATTTACAAAGCTATTGACAGAGGAGAAAGGTGCAGAAAATGGCTGAAATATCTGTATTTTCCTACTCTTGCATTAAATGCTAATGGTGTGGCAATCCTAAACAATAGTTAGAACTGCAGAACATTTGTCAGTTTAAAACAAAAAGCCATCACCTTTAAAAAATGAAATATTTGAGGCACACTCCAATGTTCAAGCGCAAAAAGGAAAATAAGAAGACTCTAAGTTTCCTGAATCCTGTCCCAATTATATTTCATTTAATAACAGTCAGTGAAATATCTAGTGGCAGGGGAAATGAAACTACATGATTTTATGGGATCATTCATCAAGAACTAATTGAAGCTTTCATACAGTTTAGTGCTGATAAAACACTGTAACAATAAACAATAACAAAATTCACCAGAGAAGGATTTGTTTTGCCGTGAGGAAAATGGTTCAGTTTCATCCTGGGGATTCCTGGTTAAAAGAGTCTCCAATTTAAAAAGGGGATAAGCACAGGCTCCTGTGCATAATGACAGAGTGGGAACTGTGGCAAATGTATTAGTATTGCTCCAGTGGAGCTATTCTCATTGTAAGTATTTGCTATTGTGTGTGGTGGAGGCAAGACGCAGAACAACCAATAGGATTTTTTAAAGTTGGATTTTTTTAAGCAGTTCCCATGTAGTTTTATGAAAAGTAAATTACAGATACAGCACAAGCAACTGAATTTCTGATTCTAAAATTGCTAAATTATCTTAGTTTTATTGAATCAGAAAAATTGTTCTTTCCTGTATTTCTTCATGGAATCAGGTTAGTCTTACAGTGATAGTTCTTTCTAACACACGCTAGAGTGATGTCCTGTCAATTCTTAAATTATAAAACATCATAAAACATGTTCCCTCTTTATTTCTGATCTATTTTCTCTGATCAGAACATTTAGGCAGTCCAGAAACACAACAAAGATTATCAAGAATGTATTAATTTTGATTTAAAGAATGAAATAATGAATATTTCATCAATCTTCATCAGAAACCCAAAGAAACTCCTAGGAAGGTGGCATTGTAGTTCAGTGGTTCCAGACCTTGCAAAAGCCACCTCAAGCAAATAACTTCAGTTCTTGTCTTCTCCTCCTCCTCCTGCCCTCTTAAAGTGCAAATCCTCCTGTGATCATAAAGTTTCATGTCACCTGTTTGTAGAACATGCTGTCCAGTGAACCTCTTTTGTCGGTTAGAACTTCTGGATGTATCAAAACAGCAAAATAACACTGTAATAAATAACATTAATGAGGCACATATATATAATAACACAATAACATAACATTTATGATTTTATGCTAGGTCATGCAACAGGAAACAAGATGCTGAATGCCTGTATGATCGTAAGGGTTGATTTTCTGCTCACTTTTGCAATTTCTGAGACATTCCAACTAATCGATCTTTCTTGAAGATCATATCAGAGAAGGACAGGAGAAGTAATCATATTTTATTAATTAAGTCCACCTCTTAGGTGTTTTTTAATTGGAATTATAAATTATATATGTCTATAGATACATGCTCCTGAAATTTTAGTGTTTTTTTTTGTTTGTTTGTTTGTTTTTTTAAGAGAAGCACTCAGTTATATGTGTACAGATCCATCACCTTAATACAGTAATTGCTATCATGTTAGCCTTTAGTACACCTGCATTTCTATGGTAGCTGTAAAAGCTATGAAAGGGGACTAGCTCAATCATATTGGTGATCCCAAGATATGGTGCTTTATACCTGGTGGTGGTTAACTTTGATGGACCTTCAACACTCAAGCTGGTTGGGACTCCAATTAGAGAAGTGTAAATGTAAAAGCAAGGTTCAAATTTTGGCCTGTCAAAAACCAAAATTAATTGAATCTACCTCCATATCTCACAGGATGTGAATGTCTCCAAAGTTCAGAAATATTTCACCTGAACTTAAATCACAGATGATATATAAATGAAGATGAGATACAGCTGTGGCTGATCAATCTTTAGAAAGTGTTTAATGGTAGATACCTTTAAGTCACTGGTATGCAGAGCTTGGAAGAACCCTGAGCTTTCAGAGTTTTACAAGTTATCAAATATTACTTTTCTAGATAAGTTGAATTGCTGTTTATCAGAATAGGGCTATATTTTCTCCATTTCTTTTACCCCAATAAAGTTTATTAAAAATAATCATATCATATATCACATTATGGTAAAATAAAGAAGCTGTAATGTTATTGCATTGTTATTTTCCCTGATTATATAGTTAAGCAAAAGGTCACTTTCCAGAGACAGTGAAAAGCTACATGATATCTCTAGGATTGTCTTACAATTATTTTGAGGCTTGTGAATTGTCACATATTCCAAGCATTTTGCACTTCTATTTTGCACTGTCTCTTTAAAGTTTCCTTTTTCTCCTAACCTTTCAGTTCCTCTCTTAATCTTTTTTCTATAGTTTCTGAATAAATATTTCCATCTTGGCCAACACAGGCCTAAAACCATAAAAAACTGGACAGGTTCTCAAGGGGCAAGGTGCACCAAATCCGGACACCATCAACTGGGCACAAAAATGATGCAGTATTTGGCATTGTCTCTGAGGACTATTTGTGCTCCAGTTGACTGAGCTATAGCACCCACCACTTCCATTATCCATACTTGAAAAAAGTAGAGATGGAATGAGCAGATATGGCAGGCCATCACTACAGCTGTCCTTTCCTACTCTGCATTACATGACCATGCCCATTTCTGCAGACAAACTTCAAGGCAAGGGATACAAATTGCTGTGTTGATATGCAACAGAAACTTTGGTTGACAACTTTCGTGTACATTTTGTTACTTTAGCAAATATTTTAGAGGAAAATTGTGTGTATCATTGCGATACGTTATTCTTACGCATGGTGAGCAGATCTTTCTCTTGATTCCAATGGGACTATTCCCAATATCTCTATGATTCCCAGATACAATACATTCTTTATGAAAAGAGCATGCACAAGACATCCAGGATTTTCAAAATCCAAGTACTACATCTTTCTCAATCAATATGTGTTCTGACACTTTTACTTTTAAGTTCTACATGGCTAACTATATTTATTGAACTATCATCTAATTTTGGTTTAGTGCAAGAAGTTAACCTTTGAGTTTTGATAATTTTCAGTGTTTTTGCTGATTTGTAAGCTGGTTTTTAATTTGCCAAAAAATGTCTGTGAACTGATCACAATTAAAGTAAGATGTTAGCAGATAAAACTAGTGGAAGATTTATTTCCACCTTGTATTATATTCATAATCTGCTTTTTTTTTAATTAACTCTAATTAGGAAATACATAAATAAAAAATAAAAAATGTGGGAACTCCTGCGAGCAGAATCAATATTTTCTATCCAATGGTCATTGCTAAAGCTGCCATTGAATTTTCACTAGTAGAGTAACTACCCTTAAATTTAAGCCTTGATTCAGAGAAAACATTTGGGTTTATCACTAATTCCGACTGATGTAGACAGGTGCCTAATTAGCAGGATATATTAGGTCTATCCAATTGCTCTAAATTGAACACAGGCTTAAATGCCTTGCTGAATAAACCCTTACCATTGAAACCAAACCATGGAAACAACTCAGCTGCCCTGGAATCAGCCACATTTATCTATTATATGATGAATGGAAAGCTATCTGAAGGGTAGCAGTTGTAGCTCTGATAATACAGGTACTTGAGGAATGGAAACGATCGCACCAAGATGTGCATGTATGTGCATTCTTTTATGAGAAAAATAGGTGTAAAATTATACATAATGAGTAAAAATAGGATGCATTTTTGTGTAAACTCCTCTCATGTACAAAAATGAAACAGAGAGAAAACATTTTCTGTTACTTCTTGTCTATAGGTATTCCACTACTTCTAGGCCAGGAAATTAATATGGGAGCAATGCAAAAAATTTATCAAGTGATTTATCTTTCTATATTATTAATAAAAATATTCAGTCTATAGTGCTCACCTTTTAAATACTTTAAGTCATATGTGCTCGAAGTTTTGCATGTCTTATGTATGATGACATAGACCTTTAGTTCTTCCTAGTGTGTGCTGTGCATGCCTGACAGGATAGGAAGAGAAATTCCAAAATGCTGTTTACTACTATTTACTAGTACCTAACTTTAGCTTGGTAAGTTTAAATTGTTCTAACCTCTGCTGAGGGACTTTTTCAAGTGACTGATATTTCACGAGAAAAGAAAAGTATTCTATATATATTTTTATTCTTCAGGTCATGTTTCTTAAGGCAAGGCAAGCTGTAAAGAGCTTCAGAGCAATGCACATATGCACCTTGGTGATCCTCCCATCCTTGCAAGATTCCTACATGGCTAGCTAAGTCAGCTTTATTTATTTTATTTTTATTTATTTTCAACATCAGACTGTATAAACTGGGAAAACAAGGAACATTTTCATGAAGCTTAGTGCATTATATTGATATCTCCTAAAATGGTCAGTAGTGGAATTTAGGATTAAATGTACCTAATCTAACTTTCAGTGCCTGCAATGACAATGTCTATATCTGAGTTCATTATGCTAAATTCCTTCTTTAGTGGAATGGCACTTTCATGTCAGTAGCACTTCAATTTATATTTAGGAATATATTTTTGGATATAACTAACATCATATTGTAAATATCTATATTTAGTCAAATGAAACCTATCTGTGGTATCTTAATTATGTACTAACCCTTTTTGCTTTTATACTGAAAGAGTTGCTTCTGGGAAAGCACTGATGCTGCTCTTAAAGTGTTTCAGGTTCTGTTTTGTGTGACAGAAATAACCGTAACATTTGAGGTGGTAGAATAATAAGCAAGACAAATAAAGAAAAGCCCTGGCCTTACCTGGGATCAGAATGCCTCCTGTTCATTTGTCTGGGCTCCTTTTACAAATGCTGTGTCTGACTGTGCTCTTCCTGTTTCAAAGATATAGCAGAATGCCTAAAGACAGGAATAATAATAATAAAAAAATGACAGGAATAAAAGACAGAAATAAAATACTCTGTGTTCAACAGTAGACAACATAAATAGAAAAACAAGACTAAATGGGCTCACTTTCATTTCATCAGTTGTATCACAGCTAGAGGAAACTCTATAGTAGATATTTGGTTCAGAAAAGTCTACAGTATAATCTACTATATAACAGAACAATTCCTGGTTCCATCAAAATTGCTTACAATGTGCTAAACCACAAGAAAACCCCATAACCAGAATATACCAGTGGAAGACAGATCAAACATTTCAGCAAAGTCATAAGTGGTAAGGTAGTATGTTAAAAAAAATGCAGATATTACAAGGCAAAAGGAAAAAAAAAGTTCCAAACAGTAATTATCAGTGACCTGATGAAAGCAATTCCTGGTGGCATAAGATCTGGCAAATGGTTTAACCTTGTAAAAGTGAGCAGGACCCCAAAGCACACAACCAGCTAATCTCATTTATTTACAGCGGGAGTCCACCCTGCTTTCTGCCTTGGATCACGGCTGCTTTCCAGGCCCTGGGAAGGTTATAAAGACTCACAAACCATAGCTGCTCCATACCTTGAAGACTCTCCCTGCACACTTCTGCTGTCTACAGAACCCATCAGGAGGACTAATAACACCTAAAAGGTGTTATGAAGCAATAGAGCTACAGGTTCATTTCAAATCCTCCTAGAGACACCACGACCTCAAGTGCCCTAGACCTCCAAGTCCCATTCCTTTCTGCCTCAAACGAGTGCTGTAACTGTGTTACAAATTACCAGAGACAAGGAGGGTACAGCGGAAATACTGTTACACCCCTCCCCCTTTTTTCTGTTTGTTACATAGTCCCTTCCCTATTTTCACTCTAAATTTTAACATGTTCCTTGACTTGTTAATCTGTTTGTGAGGCTGCTTCAGCATTTCACCAGATAAAGAAAAAACAATCTCAGATGGAATAGTTTTAATTTCCAGTCTGAATTTATTTGTGACCAATTTGTAACCATCTAATTGTGTGCCTGCGCTAAATGGGAGTTTTCCCATTGAGTGTAATTGGATCAGGCCCCAAACCGCAAAGACAGCTGCTCTTATTACGGCATGAAAAACAGACAGGGTCTGGGTGTTATTGCATAATGACAGCAGTAAATTATATTCCAAGGGCAAGATCAGAAGCTGGTGTAAATCAATACAACTCAACTGGCTTTTAAAAAGTTGTATCAGTGTGTGCAAGCTGCTATTTTGGCCCAAACATTTTCTCAGTAGATTTTAAAGCTCATCCTGCTGCATAATGCATGCTAGGGAATTACTTCCAGCAGCTCCTGCACCAAGCCTAAACTGTCTGACTGAACCCAGGCTTGTATTTCAGAAAGTCATTCAAACTTGATTTAGAGAGTGTGTATCATGGAGAATCTACCACACTCCCACAGACACTTTTCAAATACTTATGCTCTTTGTTCTTAAAGAAACCACATCACTTTATTTTCTTCCTCACTAAGATGCCAGGTTCTAGCTAGATTTCCTAGCTCTTTTTTTCCTAATACATATAAAAGCCTCCTCATTCAATTTTCCTCTTCTTATATTTATGCTTCTTCAACACTATTGTGACATCCTTTAGTCTCCATGCTGGGGGGCTGAGTTGATTAAACTTTGATTTTATTCAGTCATCATTTAACAATTTTCCAATTCAAACATTTTCTAAGGCCTTTTTAATTGTTCAAACTCACAACACTGGTTGCTTTACAGGATGAGTAGGTAGCTTCTGATGCAAAAATTTACAGTCTGATATGTTTAACTAGAATTAGAAAAAAATAATATTTGGCTGTTTCCTGGGAGAGAAAATGAAAACTATCAAACAACAGCTACATTGTTTGACTATGGTTTAACATGTTTATAAGGAATAATAGATGTAATGAAATTGCTCTATGGAACAGTCTCTGTTATTCTCTTTAAGTATATAGGCTCAATTCACTGATTTCTCTAAATCAGGTGGGATTTTGAAAGGCATGCAACCACACTGCATGAAGCTAGTTCTGAAAGTGTAATCAGCTTTGATTTACCTGAAGATAATAGTAAAACTCAGTAATTTCAATTAGGGTAAATAAAAATGAAGCTTTCCTGATGAGAAAAATACTAACTATAGTATTGTATTTTTGTTTGCATAAATGTAAAAGTCTTGGTGATTCTGTAACTAACTTTCATGCTTGTTATGTCTATGAATGTGTTTTAAAAGTTGTCCAGGTAGACAGTACCCCAAATTAATGCCATCTTGATCTTCAATAGTAATGCTCAGGAGTAATAGGAAAACAGTGCAGTGGAAGTTTTAGTACTTGCCTTTTATTTCAAAAGGAAATTTGGCTAGAAAGGCTTTGCTAGCCCGAGATTAAAAGGAATTTTCAGCCTAAAAGTACAGCTGATAGCTGCAATCTAATGTACATTCATTGCTACAAGATCTTCAACATTATGAACCATTTTGGAACATCTAAGAGGGACAAAAAACATGAGGACTAGTATCAAATAAGTATACTTACAGGCTTGGAAATTGGAGGAAGAGTTAGAAAAAGGTCAAATATGAAGAAAAACAATGAAACCAAAACATATTCAACTGGTTCATTAAAACATAATAAGCAATTAAAAAGCTTGTATTTATTTAGTGCTGTGAGAATAATTTGAGTATGAGCCTTGTTAGCTTCAGTTGTCCAAATCAAGGAGGATCTGTCAAGGAGGTTCTCATCAATCTTGTATAATGACTACAGAAGCATTTAGCTGATCTGAGGGGCACAGCTGGATTTTCAAACAACCCTTTCATTTGGAAGCTCTAATTTAACACTTAGAGGAAAACTCCCGTGTTGCTCTGTCAAACTTCGTCTGGATAAACATTTTTCTTAAGAAGAATTCTCTTGGTAAATAAAATTTCAAAGTAAAAAGTATTACTAAAGGTATATCTGTGCAAGTTGCATTAATGTTGCAGTAGTGAAGGATGCATCCCACAGAGATGGTTTCACCAGACCACCCTGTTTATTCAGCCTTGCAATGTTATGTTGGGAGATTTAAAGTGAGATTAGAGTATATCTCATGAAAAAGAGTACGCATATTAAGTTTACTCCCAAGATTGACAGGAGAAGAACAAAACTCCACAGAAAAATATTTGTGAAAAATACTCAGATGAAGATCCTGAAAACAGAAGGTATTGGGTTATTGTTCATAGCATGAATTGAAGCAAGGAGAAGACAGAGATGCAGATTTTGTCTTCATACAAATTATAAGTGCAAGATATATGGGGGATAAAAAAGAGAATTATAATGGATACTGTGGAATAATTTCCATGATTAGAGTAAGAATGTAAACTTGTTCAGGAAATACAAGAAAATAGGAAGTTTAGGAAATATTAGGAAGAAATGAGGAGGAGAGTGCCTTAGTACTGTTGTGAAGAGTACAGATATATTTCAAGTCTCTAGAGAAAAGAAACAAAATGCCGTGTAAAGATCTATAAGTTACTATAGAATTAGAAACGTAAGAAAGAGGAAAAAGATTTCTGTTTTGGTCCTAGGTTTCTTTTTTTGTTTTGTGTTGTTTTTTGTTTGTTTGTTTCTTTGGTTTTTGTTGTTTTGTTTTGTTTTGTTTTGTTTTTTCTCTGTATGGGTCCCACTCCCCCTCGAATTTTAATAGCACCATTAATGGGATTTATAGCTCACTGGAAATTTGAGTGGCCTGAGTATATGTTGACAAGGGAGTGCAGCAGCACCCTGACTGTGAGATAGCTTGTGTTGATGAGCATATTTTGATACAGAAGGTACAGAAAACAACAAGAAAGGAGGATTTTTAAATTCAGTTCTTAACAGTGAGTTCAGAAGTGCACAGAGAAGTCTGGAAACAACTAATGAGGCAGCAGTTCTGTGAGGGGTTTAAGAGTAATAAAAGGAGTCAGATGTTGAACATGTGTTAATAACACATCATTCTTTAGGAGAAAAAACAAAACCTGCATTGCAATGTACACCTGCAAAACAAGGAAAGGCATTTTCTCTTCCTATCTGCATTGGGCAGGTTACTCTGTCCTCGGCACTGGACAGTCTTCAGCTTCTGTATGCTTAGTGTAGACCTTGTTCTTCCAGAAAATGTGGAAGAATTGAGGTTAAGAAGAAGGATAATCAGATGTCCAGAATATTTGATACAAGAAGGAATACAAATTGAATTAACATAATTTATGCCTAAAGAGAAAAGATAGGGAGGGCAAGGAAGAAAGATGATACCTGAGATGTTTCATAATAAAAAGAAAAAAATATTGAATAGTTTTCCATGTCAGAGCGGCTACCAGAGAAAGTAACAGAATAGAATTACAGAAAATCAGGTCTGGCATTAGTTAAACCATCCTACTGATAATGATCATCAATAATGAGGAGAAGAGGATCCAGAAGGGTTACTAAGTTCCCATTCCTTGAAGATCTTTTAAAATAGGCTAGCCATATACCTACCAAGGATAACAGATATATAATATTTGAGAAGAGATTAAATAACTAATTTCTTGAGGTCCTCTCCAGTCCTGACTCTAGTGTTGCTTATTCCTAACTTTGAAGGTAGTAATTTCCAGAAAATTAAGTTAATAAAGACAGGAAGAAATGTGTTCTGCAAAAAAATCAATAGACAGATCTAGTCCAGAGAAATTGTTTATTTTCTTCAGCTTCAAGGAAATATATTCTTTTATTTAACTAAACTTTCAACAGCATTTTACGTACTAATCTTTCTAATATTTAGTGATTCCAAGTTTACCATACTCATACCTTTGCAAAAGAAATACTTCACATTTAGTGGTATATCTCCCTTGAGATTTGTAACATCTTATATTTTTCACACATTTTATTCAAACACTTATTTAAATGGGTTTTCCTTTCCCAGACCCTAGTGTGTAGTCTCCATTTTTCTTCTGGGTACTCATTTAATATCTGTAAAATTATTGGTGGGGTGTAAAAAAAATGTTTGCCTTGATGTCATTCAATAATACTAGGGAACATTAATTAATTGTATTTTTCTTTGCCCAAGGAAGAAACCTTTGGTTCATTTAGTTATATCACACTTGACATCACCTATCTTTGCCGTAGTCAAACATGGGGGCTAGAGAGGAGATTATGGAGGCTAAGGTTTGTTCAGGATAGGACAGAGTGAGAAATAAACTTTATAGTTAGCAAAATGTTTTAAGCATTTCCAAAGTTTCCTATTCCTTGTCAGCTTAAGTCTTCTTGAATTTCTTTGAACTTTTAATCTGTTATTCCACTCAGAAAAACACACCTTCATCAGAATGGAGTGGCTGAAGAGAGTTCATTAGACATATAGGATATACAGATTCAGGTCCCTGCATAGCTGCTCCTTGCTTCCTACCTGTGTCCTGATCAGAAGGCTATCAATTATCCAGAAGTGATTTCTTTCCCTCATCTTTTATTTGCGAGAAGGTGTCCAATAGTTATTTTAAAATTAATAAATAATTAATTGGAAATAGATGGCTTATAACAATTTGATATATTAACAGACAATGCAGGAGACATCCTTCCAACAGTGAATTTATGTTTATGTCAAAAGTAATAATATAGTTCATGCTCATGGGCTCACTCAATATGTGAAAGGAGTAAGGTCAGGATTAGTCTTTTCCTGGTAGTTATCTCTGTTGACTTTTTAAAAATTTTATTTAGCTACATCAAGATTTGGTTGTTTAT